GATCCACCTTGGGAGAGCCGTTGTGGCAGCGGGAGCTGGGCCCAGCTGATGTTCCAGCCCCTCCTGAAAGGGTGCTTCCCGCAGACCATCTCATGCAGCAGGATGCCCAGGGTCCAGACGGTTGCTGCCTCGCCATAGTACCACCTGAAGTTGGTCCATTCCGGGGGTCTGTATGATCGTGTTCCTATGGAATATGGATGGAGCTCATCAGGGGGATGCTGCTGCTCCCAGAGCCTGACCCCAGCATCCCTGGGCATGTGGGGCTGCCCCAGTGGCTCACGGGGTGACCTGCTGCCCTCTCGCCAGCACCTGGCACTTGTGTACAAACCCAGGGTTGGAAAAGAAGGCACTGGTGCTGGAAGAGGGCAGCAGAAACCCTGGCAAGGCCCGACCATGACAAACAAAGGAAAAACCCTCTCACAGTGCTGGGGAAAAACCATACCCACATCCTCCCTGCTGGCATTGCCCAAAAAATATTATGAACCAAGGCAAAGCAGGGAAGCACAGCAGTCCAAGCCCATTCTCACCTGCACACCAAACCAGCTGGTGCACAGGTCCTGGCTCCCCCTCTCTGCTACCCCCACCCACAGGGGATTTTGTCAGGCTGGCTGCCCTAGCCCCAGCCCCAGTCCTGGGAGAATCCCTGCTGCCACACCCTGGTTGGGCCCTGAGATGTTGGGCCAGGAGATGCCGGGACCGGGAGCCTACTCCTGGGTGGGCTCACCTGCAAACTGAGTGTAGGCTGTGTCCTGCAGGTAGGTGCCACAGCCGAAGTCAATTAATTTTGCCTGCCCGGTGTCCAGGTCAACCAGGATGTTCTCCGGTTTTATGTCTCTGTGCAGGACCCCGCAGCTGGTGCAGTGCTGCACGGCCTCCAGCACCTGCCGGAACAGCTCCCGCGCCTCTTCCTCTGACAGGAACCTCCGTGCTCGAATGAAATGCCGCAGGTCCTGACACCGCTCTGGGCGCTCCAGTACCATCACGATGGTGTTGGGGAGCTCAAACCACTCCAGCAGCTGCACCACACCGGAGAAGCCTGTGGACACCTTGTCCAGCAGCACTATCTCCAGTGGTGCGCTGGTGCCGTCGGGCTGCGGGAGGAGCACGGTGCCGTCAGTGGGGCTGAGCCCGTGCCAGGGCTCGGGGAGCCCTCAGCCAGCCCGGGATGCTCTGTGCCCTCCGCTGGCCCCACGCCCGCTCTCCCTCCAGGTGTCCTGGTGGCTCCCACCCTGCCGGGCCCCGGCTCATCCCCGCCCGGCACGCCCCGGCTTCTGCCGCTGGCCCCGCTCACTCACCAGCTCGCCCCAGTGCCGGACGCGGTTCCGTGGCACCTTTTTGATGGCCACCTGCAAGCCAAAGGGAGCAGCGGATTCAGCTCGCCGCCTACCGTGTCCAGCCCCATCCTCCTCCTCCGCCCTCTCCTCCTCCTCCGCCCTCTCCTCCTCCTCCGCCCGCCGCTGGCCCCTCTGCTCACCGGGGCGCCATCCGAGAGCCGAGTGGCCGAGAAAACCCTGCCGAAGCCGCCGCGCCCCAGCAGCGAGCCGATCCTGTAGCGCTGCTGCAGGGCCTCCTGCGCCTTCCCTGGGGAAGAGACGCGGCCGTCAGCGCTCGGCCCGGGGCCAGGAACGGCCCCCGAGCGCTCCCCGACCTCCCCGGGCCGAGCATCCGCAGGCGTCCGCTCCTTGGAACGCGACAGCGGCGGCTCGGGGCCAGCGGCCGCGCTGCCGAGCGGCGGAGCTCGGGCCGGGGAAGCCGCAGCGGAGGCGGCGGCAACGGCTGCACCGCCTGTGTCCTCCGCGGGCCCCGGGAGGAGCCGGGGCAAGGGCCGGGACCAGGGCCAGGGCCGGGGCAGGGCTCGGAGCAGGCGGAGCCAAAGGGCGGCGATACCGCCCCAGCCCCAGGCACTGAGGCCCGCCCAGAAGCGCCAGCGCCAGCTCGGCCAGAGCCGGGCGGAGGCGAGAGCGAGGCGGGACGCCCGGGGCCGGCGCCGGGGCCGGGGCCGGGGCCAGGGGCGGGCCGGGGGCATGTCCCGGGCGGGCAAGGGGAGAGGGAAACTGGGAGAGGAGGGGAACACAGAGAAAAGGAGATCGGGAATGGGTGAGGGACCGCGGGAGAGAGGGTGGAACAGTGGGAGAGGGAGAGGGGAAGAGGGGCAATAATTTCGCTTCTTTCTCTGCTTTTTCTCTTTGCGCTGCTGCTGCCGCCGCTGCTGCTGCTGCTGCCGCTGCTGCCGCTGCAACTGAAGCACCGGGGCCGTTTGTCCCCGGGGCCGTTTGTCCGTTGCCCGCTCGGCCCCGCGCCGAGCCCCGCGCTCCCCGGGCAGCCCCTGAGCCTGGCCAAACACGGGAACTTTGCCGTGTTGAGCCAAGAGCCAGAGTCTTGATTCCTGCACAGGGGCACAGCAATGCCCTTGGCTGCTGCTGTGCCTTGTCCCTGCTGAGCGTCAGACACTGTCTGAGCACATTCCCTGAATGCAGAATTTGTACCTGACCCAAGCACTGCACTTGTGTCTCCAGCATTGCTTTCCAAGAAAAACGGGGGAAGGAAAACTGGGTATCGCTCATGGTATTTTACAATGTCTAAAACTTGCCAAGTCTCAGATCTTAGAGGTGAGATCCATTTGGAATGAATGGGATGGAGAAACAGTGCAAGATGGAAAAGGAAAACATAAAAATAAATAGAGAAAAATAGAGAAAAACATACTGGTCGTTTCTTTTGGGTTTATTTTCATTTCTTAAAAAAGCTGTTTCAATTTTCCCAGAATCTTCTCCACAGTCCTGTCTTTTCTTTCCAAAAACCTGTCCTGGAGAACAAGGTGCAGCTCCTGTCTCAAGATGTGCCCCCAGCTGCAGCTTCTCTTGGCTTCCCACACTGTGCGTGCAGCACAACTCTTGCAGCAAAGCAGGACAAATTATCTGAAGAACTTGACAACTTGTTCTTGCTTTTCCTTGTGGACAGTGGAGTTGTGCCATTGCTAAGGTTTTCATTGTTACTCTTCTATCCGAAGAAAACATGATGAGCTGCCAGGAATTGTTAGGGAATACAAGCCTGGCTGAATGTGGAGAAAGAATCTCCAGAGCCTGCAGCCAGCAGTGGAGAGCTCATCATTCCAATAGCGCCATGGACACCTTGAAAGTGATCTGGAACATGAAAATGGGCTGACAGAGGGAGTTTGTTTGTGTGTTCAGTTTAGATGATTCTACATCTCTTGCACTGGTACAAATCAAGAGCACAATCAGTTGTTGATAAGCACCAGAACATGATAAGCTGGACCTCTCAGTAGATGAGAGAAAGAATGTGAAAAGGACAAATGCAGGGAATGACTTGGTGAACTTTGTCTGTTAAGAAGGGTCATTTTTTCCTAATAATTCCCAATTAATTCCCTTTGCTTTTGTCCTTTCTGGCAAGGCTGTTTGCATGGCAGATTGCCCAGGAAATGAGAACCTGGAGCTTGTGGAAGTGCCTGAAAGGTGCCCTGTTCCTCTGCAGGGACACTCAGGCTGAAACAGGAGCCTGAGGCCTCTCTTGGGAAGCCTCCTCGGGGCTGGAATTTGTGCCATGCCAGGAGAGGAGGAGGGGGAGGAGGATGGGAGCTGTGTGTGAGGAGCAGGAGGTTTGGGCCGCAGGACATTCCGT